GGCCGAAAGGGCCTTGCCGTCCCCCCCCCCCCCGCAAAACAAGAGAGAAGGAAGGAAAGGGAAAGAAACAAAAGAAGAAAAGAAAAGGGATATCGGTTGCAATTTTCCTGCAAACAAGATGTGGATCTCGGAGAAAGGCCTTTGCCTCTGAGGGCAACGATTACCGACAAAATTAAATATCTACAAATTTAACCCTATAAACCCGGGGCCGAAGGCTAAATTGTTATGCGCAAATGGTCATTTTCGTCGACGACATAAATATACAAATTATTTCGTCAACTTAATTAGTAAGCATCATAGCTATATATTTTAATGCAGGCGCGTAGCTAGGATCTTATTTTAGGGAGAGGTGGTATTGAGCAAGCGAATCACTTAAAGAGTGCGCAAAGAGCTCCCTAGGTGGGGAGGGGATAGGTGAAAGGCCTCCCGCGGGAGGCACGGGAGCTTCGACGTTTCATTAAATTATTAGAATAAGAAGACGATTCATTGTACCGACTCTAAATCATTGTCTGAATTTTCAAAAATGTTTCTTTGTCCGATAAAAAGTCACAGTTCGAAGGGGAAAAAAATTGCTGGCCGACCGACATAAAAAAAATCCCGCTGACTTCAAGCCCACACCCCCCCTCCTCCCCCCCCCCTAACCCCCTTTAGCGACGCCCCTGAATGTAGAGTGGCCTGAGCGGGTAGGCACAGGGCGTGGTTCTAAACTTAAAGAGACGATTCGATGAAGACACCCTTATTTCATGATTGCGTGTGTTGAACTGCCCTGGGCTTTACAACTTTAAACCTCCAGGGTTTATTTTGCATATATAGGTATTTCCATGTTCATTTATATAATAAAAGGAAATAACGAATATTCAAATATCACAGGTATCAAATAAAGGATGACTAACAGAGGAATGAAAACAAACAGATAGGAGAGGATGATCAAGCATAATGATGCGCACCAATCTATAAATGTGAATTACTAAGTAGCCTGTTCACACTACAGCTCTACAGTAACAAAGCATTTGTAGCCTTAATTTTAAGCAGTTGAAGAAATTAATAAAAGTAGGCCTACTTGAAGAAATCGTTGAATTGTAAGATATTCAGTTTATTTTTATCAAGTAAGACAAAGTACTAGGTGTTAAAATAACACACATTTAACGCCTTTGGAGAAAAAAATAATACCCCAGGAACGTGAAAAACAAAACTTTTATTGTCACACGTGCCTATAATCGAACATATTTAAAAACTGAAATGTGGCACCACCCAAAAAATATTATTCTGAGATCCTCCTTTATCTTTAATTTGCACCTGGAAATAAATTCTTTGTTCCTCGTCTATGTCATCGCGGTGAAAAATTTCAGAGTTTTCCTCTTTTGAGGTGCACATGCAGCCTCAGACAAATGTGCCAAAGAAGTTTTGTCTTCTTGTGTTCCTGGAAACAAAGTTTTGGGCAATATTTTTCAAGTCCAGTTTATCTGTACGAGATTCATATATGAGTAATATTAAGATTTGGTTGAGCTTTCTTTGCGTCATTGTACTTATCAGATAAGTTTTGATCCGTTTCAAGACAGAGAATGTTCTCTCGCAAGTTGCCGTTGTAACCGGGATTGTAAGGTAAATGAGAAGAAGGATGTGCACCTCTGAGAATGATCTCTTATAGATTGGACTGTTGTTGAAAATCTCACAGATTGTTTTAATGTATATTTGATATGTTTACTCTCATCGTCACACACGTCTTGGAGGCTTGTTAGCTGCCGAGTTTGTTTGTTTGTTTGATTGATTTTATTTCTGCGTTCAAAAATATACAAATTCAAAGTCAAAGTACAAAATTTCGAACAATAACAAATACAATGAATACAATGTTTACAAAAGTAATTAAATCAAAAATCATGGTTAATTATATCATTCGATAAACATGTACGAAGCATACAATAACATAAGAAATATGAAATATTTTCAATAAATTAGAGAGGTAATTTGGAACGCAGGAGACCACCATCGTGAGCGGTTAGGCTGGAGATGGATGGGGGCCTCGTAAAAAGAATTGGCGACATAACTCTCTTCGAAAAACTGAGTGACCAAGAGGGTGCGGTGCAAGTGCAGGTGCAGTGAGCAGTTGCATGATAAAGAATAAATAAGTCACGGTTTTGTTATACTAATTTAGAGAGGGGGAGCATATGATTGTATTATTTGTCGTTTAAGTGTAGTTTTTAAGGAGTAGATGGTTGAACAAGACTTTATGTTGTCGGGTAAATCATTCCAAATGTCCGGGCCAGAATGTCTAACAGATTTGTGTGTTATTGATAATTTGGGGTTTGTAAGATGGAAGTTTCCAGATATGCGAGTAGAGTATGAATGAACGGAATTATTAAACCTAAACATGTTATCAAAGGATGGTGGAAGCAGATTATTAATGTACTTAAACATAATAACTGCTACTTGAGTAGTGTTCAGATCGAAATTTTTTAGTGTTTTAAGTTTATAGAATAAAGGATCAGTGTGAGCTAAGAAATGCGAACCTGTACAAATACGTATGGCTTTCTTTTGCAGTTTGAAAATAGAATTGATTTTTGTCGAACCACAATTTGCCCATACACTATTACAATATGTTATATACGGGAGAACTAGCGAATTATATAGTAGGAATAAGGTTGCATGGGGTAGAAGAAACTTTAACTTGGAGATTATTCCAATACTTTTGGAAATGCACATTGTAACTTGGTGTAAATGATCATTCCAAGTCAAGAGTTGATGCTACAAAGTCAATATCTCCGGCATACACTTCCCTCAACTCATCAGCACGAACAAAATATTGGGGAGGGGGCTCATGATAACCGAGCCCGGCCGAAATATATATATATATATATTTTTTTTTTTTTGGGGGGGGGGGGGTGGCTCAATGATATCCGGGCCCCTCAAAAATAGCGGGGGGCTCCGTGATGTTATCCGAGCCCCACACAAATATCGGGGGCTCTGTGATTTTATCCGAGCCCCACCAAAAACACTTGAGGGGGAGGGGGGCTTATGATATCTGAGCCCCACCAACATATGGGGGGGGGGGGGGCTCAATGATATCAGAGTCCCTCCAAAATATTTGGGGGGTTAAATGTTATCCGAGATCCACCAAATATATTTTTTGGGTCAATGATATGCGAGATCTGCTGTCTGAGCCCCTCTCTCTCCTCCCTAAATAAATATTTATAAAATGTTTATATTTGAATGGTACGTCTGTAGATTATAGGTATACATGAGTTTCATGCCTAGAATATAATCATTGGGGAGGAGGGCGGCTCAATGATATCTGAGCCCCACTTAAAATATTGGGGGCTCAATGGTATCTTAGCCCCTAAGGACTCAATGATATCTAAGCCCCACCAAAAGATTGAGGGGCTCAATTAATGATATCTAAAAGCCCCGCCAAAAATATTGGGGGGGGGGGGGGGGGGGACTCAATGATCTCTGAGCCCCCCCCCCCCCATATATATATATATATATATTGGGGGGGCTGTGCCCCCCAATCCTCCTCCCCCCCCCCCCGGTTCCTAAGCCTAATTACAGTTCAATAAAGTCTACTATTTGAAACTTAAAGGGATTGGGTAACTTTGTCTTACGTTCTGAAACAAAAAATCCTGGAATGATAGTTAGGGCTAGTTCTGATCGGAAAACGACCCAAATATCGGAGTATGGCTAGCTGCCCCAGGGCCTTGTCCTATATACGGATCAGAGAAAAAATACTTAAAACATTTTGGGGATTACTTTTATGACTTTTGGGAGCTCTTTTTGGCATTTCGGGGGCTAATTCACCCCGAGCCCCCGTGTATTTTTCCTCCTGATACGGATAAGTGAGTGCCCTGATGGGTCTTCTTCTAACCCGTGTTTTTAGCTCTTCTTTCTTTACTTTTTCCTTTCCTTTCTTTTTTCTTTCCTTTCCTTTCTTATTTTTTCAAAGAGGGGGGGGGGGGGCGGGTCCATTGCCCCCCGTATATCCGCGCCTGAGTGACACCCACACAAACTAACCTTATTTATTACCGAACAAAAAAAATGAAGAAAGAGCCCCTCCACACCATAGGTGTAAGTATTCAGCCAGTTCCTACCCCCCACCCCCACCAATATAAACTTTAAAAGTGATTTTTTTTTTCTTTCTTCTAATTTGATACCAGTGATATACAGATCTTGCTGAAATGGCCTAATTTTCCGGGATTTTTCCTCGCTTTTTAGTAAATTATACTTTTTATGCGTTTGTTGGAGAATGACATATATCACAATTTACAGTCAGGCAAGAAATGTGCTTATTTACTATTTAGAGGCCGACATGTCAGGTCCCGCGGAACGGCGGGCTTGGGGGCTCAAGCCCCCCCCCCCTCCCTCCCACCCCACACTTTTGAAAAAGTATATTAAAGAGAATTAAATAGAAAGAAATAGAAAAGAAAGTATGCTCATGTAACCGTAATTAAATGCCCATACCCCTGAGCTAATTCCGGGGGCTCTGCCCCCTGGACCCTATCTTGGGCCCTAAGGCTGGCCCCTGGATGCTAACCTGATCTTGATTGTAATGCCTAAAACCCCTGCACTTTCGGGGGCTCCGCCCCTTGGAGCATACGCCAATTAGTGACCTGCCAGTGTCATGAATATGGTATTAAAATATGCTCATCTGACCGTAAGTACGAAGCCACGTACAATCGATTACAACAGTAATTGTGGGGCCGATATTACGAGTATGCCTTCATAGAATAAAGGTTTTAAAGAAAATATTCACTTCTATTTCAAAAGGACTGGCCCATTTGCTTTAAAAAATTGTAGAGAGTTATTATTATGTAATTTCTAGAAAAAATGCCAACCACATGATTTACAATGAGTCTAAATACATTGATTTGCCGAGTTTCTTCCTTTTATCAAATATACACGTAAAACAATGGGGGACAGACTGCGGGACGATCCGTGCGAGTCACGGACGATCCGTGCGAGCAGAAAACCCGCATATTATGTCCGACGGACAAACGAAACTGGTAGGACAAACGGCGCGGTCACACCGGCCGTTCCTCCCTGATTAGCTAGCTAAGCAGTGCCGTGGCCGTAGAGTTAGAAATTCATCTAAAGTATCAGTCTATACTTATTTAGTGACATTACTTAGGCAAGCTGTGAAAAAGGGAACTGAGACTTCGACACTGGATTCTGGAACGTACTCTTCATTTCGTCGACAAATGTGCTGTTTTCTCTGCACTATAGGGGCTAGCTGAAGTATAAGTTCCAAACAGACCTCGATAATTACCGGTACAACCTAGCTCGTATTCGTTGTGCATTGTCCGTGTCGACTCCTGGCGAGACTTAGCCCGTAGTGCATCGTAAAGGTAAAGTACTAGTACATGAAGTAGCGCATCCTATGCATTTTCAAGACGGACAGCACGGTAGTGGGGCTTCTTTCACCGAAGTATAATTTAGGGGGTGTTTTGAGGTTTAATGAATAAAGCTAGCAAATTATTAAAAAGGGTTTCATTTAAATGATTAACTTGTTAAATTTATCTTTTAGACCCTATTTTAATATTTTAACTTTTTAAATATTTTTCGTTATTTAGATTCTAGATCTATAGATCTAGATCTAGACATCTAGATCTAGTCTAGACTAGAGATCTAGATCTAGATCTAGAATCTAATTGTTTACCTTTTTTTAATATTTTTCCTTTTTTAATATTTTTCCTTTTTAAAAACATTTTTCTTTTTTAATATTTTGGCCCCCTCTCTTTAAATTTATCTTTTAGTTTACTTTTTTTTTTTTTTTTTTTTTTTGGGGGGGGGGGGGCCCTACCCCCCCCCCTCTCTTTAAATTTATCTTTTAGTCCTTTTTTTGGGTTAGGGGCCTCTCCTCCCCCCCCCCCCCCCCCCCGTTGCTACGTGCCCCCCCCCCCCCCCTCCTCCTAATTTTTATTTAAAAAATAAATCCCTTTCAACCCCCTTTTTAACTCGCCTTTTATTGCTGTACGTCATGAAAATGTTGGCTGAAGACTGAAGTTAGAAGTCTAAGATGATTTGTAATCGATTACAAGACGGGTAAGTAATTGCGGGGCCTATTTCACAATATTGCCTAAAAAACACCCTTTTTTTATTTAAAAACCGGAAGACGGGCCCCATAACACCCTGGCCCCCCAGCATTTTATTTATTTGTTATACTCAAGAGAGGGGGGGGGGGGGGTGTTGTTTAGTTTTAAAAAATAGTGCCCACTAAAAAAAATTGTAGTAGATCTAGAATCTATAGCCTAGACCTTTCGGATGGTGACGTTAAAGGTCGGTCCCCATACAGACGTATATCTGATTGATACAGATCTGTAAAAATCCAATTACACACACACACACACACACACACACATGAACGGGGGGGGGGGGGGGGGGGGGGGAGAAAACAAGAAATTGGCATATTTTTGTAATATTATTTCTGTTATAGCCACCTCCAATTCGCCTTATTTCATGCATCTTCTATGCAGGACCTCATAATTTTCAGATCTAATTTGGTATCTATTTCATATAATTTGCACCCATATTATTTCCAACGAGAGGACACCATCAATTTCGGTCAGATTTTCTACTGAACTCCTCAGATGTCTCCAGTGCAATTGTGCCATTTTTTACTTGAATTTAATGGCCAAAATTTAGGGCACACACAATTTCCGAAATATATTTAATTTAATTGACACCAATTATTTCTGAATAGGGTCTACTTTGTTTCCACTTTTTACCTAAATATGTCATCATTTAAATCTTTCCCCAATGCCAATGGGCTTTTTATTGAGGGCACTTTCCATTGGCAACTAGGTTTAGTTATGTCCGCATAATTACAAAATTATAAATCATAAAGGTAATTTGTATATCAGGATGACCTCTTTTTTCTTCTTTTATATCTTCTTAGGCTTTAGGTCAAGGCCCTTTTTTGTATAAAACTTGTTATCAATAACAAGTTACAACAAATGTTATAAGCTACTGAAATTGGGGGCAATTGAAAGGCTGCATGAGAGCAAATTTGTCATAGAAATTTAACAAATGTTATTGAAAACAAGTCTTATGAAACAGGGCCCTCATCTAATTACTTGGTGGGTGCACCATGCATGTCCACAGAAAAATAGAAAATTAGAAGTAGAAGAAGCTGAAAGAGAAGCTGAAAGAAGAAGAGGTACATAATGAGGGTCACAGAACATTTCTGTATAGTTTGAATATTTGCAAGAGGTTTAAATATATATGTCACTAGTATACATACATGTACAAAGTGCAGTTTGCCTTTTATGTTCTAGCTGGTTATCTGACCAAGGCGATCAATTAAAGCGGTATTTACATTTGGGCCTGCTGGAAAAGATAGGAACATGTGTGTTGCCATGAAATGCACTTTGACATTTAAGAAACAGTAGCATTTATCTTGGACAGCATACTGCAAGGTAATTGTTCAGAAGACGTTCAGCTGCTGTTTACCAGTTTAGGTGTATTAAAGGTGGATCAACTCACACACACAAAGCAGTTTGGTTTCCATGAAGCTACATGTAACTCCATTGAATATGCTCGTATGTATTTCGTGAATGTATGTAGGATGTTCAATGCATTGAATAACAAGGAATTGTGTTTTCTTATGCATCTTCATTGACTTTTTGAATGCATTGCATGATGATCCTAAATGTTGATAAAATGTTTTAAAAGTTGGGATACCATTGTATTTTGATACTGCTTTATAATTAATGTAGAGTTTCCTCAGACGATGAAAACAATTTACATGACACTGCTTTCTTTGCTTGCCAAACATATTTGTATGTTTAAAAAAAAAAAAACATGTATGTATCATACCTGCCAACCCTTACGAATAATCCAGAATATTCTGATTTTCTTATTTTCAAATGTTGGCAGGTACATGTACAAGTATATATTTCTAGGACCTGAAAATCTGGAATATTCTGAATTTTCAAAATTTTGAGTTTTGGGGGTTTTGTTTGTACTTAAGCCAAATTAAGCTTGTTTTATCATGTGACGCGATTTGAGAGTTCACATTGCATGCATTGAATGGCTGCATGATCGAGCAGCGAATTTGTATTCGCTTTTTGAAAAGATTTACCCCTATTGCCAGTTACACTGCCGCTGCAAGTGCGATTTCTTGTTTGCGAAGGAATATACCGTGCTAAAAATTCCTTATTCTTATTTTCATACTGTATGTTAGCAGGTATGTAATAGCAGTATGATTTTTTTTCTTCTTCAGATTTAAGAATCACCATGACTACCGTTGAACGCAAAAAGAAGATAGGAGTAGCCCTGTTTGGCGTGGGGCGTGCTGGCACCATCCACATCAAGAACCTTGCCGCGTCTCCTCGTGTAGATCTAAGATGGATTGTGGAAGAGGACACCAAAAAGGTCACGCCCATCCTGGAGCAGCTCTACCTCTACGATACCCAGGTCATCTCCACCAAAGACATTTCTAACGTCTGGAATGACGAGAAGTGAGTAAAAATATAGTGATCCATATTCTACTACTGGTAATTCAGTTCAGTACCGCCCCCACCCCCCCCCCCCCCCCACTCAGTGTTATTTAGGGTATGCATATGCCTGTTCCCAGCGACCCCCCCTTTTCAGCAAAAGTCTGGTGTGTAAAGTCAATACGGGTCAACCTTTTTCTTTTGTTATACAAGCCTTTTTCAACACCCCCCCCCCCCTTTTAGCAAAAGGTTGGTGTGTAAAGTCAATACGGGTAGACCTTTTTCTTTTGTTACGAGCCAGAGAGTTTGGGAACACGCATCGGTTCCCTCCATTCACAGAGTGGGGGGGGGGGGGCGGGTTTCAATCTGACCTTTAAAATAAAGTTGATCGAGTTCTGGTCATGCGTTTGCATTGTGAAAGAGTTAGTTGCATGTCAAGTATTATTGGTAATTACCTCTCCAAATATGTATTTAAGATAAGAATCAGACAAAGGAGTTATGGGATGCCACATTATGCATGGTGACAATAGTGTAGAATTACTTTTGAATTCCTCTTCTTTATATTCCCAGTCTATAGAGTTTGAACCACTCAACTAAAACATCTCTATGACATATGCTCTGGCAACAGTTCTCTCCTTATTTCACTTATGCTCCGGTCACAAAGGTTCGTACGAACAATTGTCTTCCCGATTTTTCAATTGTCTGAAAATCGTTCGTACAGCGTTCGTAGCAGTTCGTAATGGCATAGATGAATGCAAGAGTCGTGTGTGTTCCTACTATTCTTCATGGAGCTATTTATTGCCATGGACAAAAAGATTTATTTCTTTCTCTAATAGATAAATGCAATAGTACAAGGTCAGCTTTGTTGTTTTGTCTAAAAGTAACTATAACTGTCAAAGGTACTATGTCCCGTTTTGCAGGCCAAAAAATGAAAAGGTTAAATTCTAATGGCATTTAAAAGATAATACTAATTTAGAACTCCCTTTAAAAAAAATGGGGCTTGAAATGTCTTTAAGTGGGAAAATAACGACTATTAGTTGTAAAATCGACTTAGGAGCTATAGAGCCAATAAGTAATAGTCTTGATTTTCAGACCATTGTCCCGCATGGTCGTACATTTTATGCTGCACAAAGATTCAATCAGTTTTATTTTGGCCATTACAAGTAGTGGGTTATTGATGTAGACAAATCCTTTACAGCTCACTTTATGTATGTTATTACCAAAGAAGAAGAAAAAGCCAGTCAGTCGCTCAATAGTGTCTGACAGTGAAGTCTAGCAAGTAAACGGGTTTCCTTACATAATTTGAATATTAGGACACTGCTAACATTTATATTTCAGATAGGACATACATGACATATTCATAATTCTGTAAGTTCTACAGAATTTGAGGTTGGCTGCAAAAGGGACATAGTACCTTTAACCCATCCAAATCTCAATTCTATTTTTTCCTTCTCATTCTCTCTCTCTCTCTCAGGACGGATGCAATAGTTGTGTGTGTTCCTACTCTTCTTCACGAGGCTATCATACTAAAAGGGTTGGATGCGGGTAAGTTATTATGATTAATCAGACTTCTGTGCCGTTCTTTTCACTCTTCCCATACAAAACTAATAAGGACATTGTACCTGGATGCATGCATGTACAAAGTGTCAAGAGAAAGAAAAGAAAATTCCTAATTAAAGAATCTTCCAAATAATTAACAATATGCTTGCTGATTTTTTATGTGATTTTTTGTTTGACACAAATTTTGTGAATGAATTTTCAGGAATAAAATTTTCACCTAAAATGCTTTTTTTACATAAAAAAGGCCTGATATCTTTCACTGATGTAAACTTCATCACAGAGATAACTTTTTCTTTTTTTAAAGAAGAAATAAAAGGTGTTGACCTTTTTTTTCCATCACCCACAAACTTGGGCATGATTGGAATAAGACATATAAGGCGCTATTTCGTTTTCAAAGGCTGGTTCAAAATTACCAAATATTTGTGGGACACCACAAATATTAGTAATGGTTATATTTATGGATATTTCAGCCATTTCTGAACTGATTTTGATCAAGCATAAATGATTTTGTCATTTAAATTGTATATTCTTTCAAATTTGACACTCAGTTTTTCATTATCTCACAAATTACTTTGTGTAGCGCCCTCTGCAACAAAACTCAACTATCCCTTTAAAATCTGTTAAACGCACATGTTGTCTGTTTGATATTGGCAGGGAAGGCTATATTTGTGGAGAAACCCATCGCTGTCAAGTTAAAAGATACCAGGGAATGCTACCTCAAGGCTGCAAAGGTGGGCAAACCTCTGTTCTGTGCTTTCAACAGGTAAATCTTAAGCCACACTGTACTACTTGTAGCTACTTGCTCCCTCTCTATAGAAAACAATGCCTAATCGGTGACCATTGGTCCCCCATGATCCTCTTTTTAGAAAACAATGCCTAATCGGTGACCATTGGTCCCCCGTGATCCTCTTTTTCTTATGTTAACTGAGAGCTGAGTTGATGAGATACCCACCTGTCCAGTGACCTTGTAGGGTGGTCTCATCCCTCCTATAAACTAGTACAGATAGGCTTTAATTCTGCCTGTGCTGTGCCATCGCACTCAGAAGTATGACCTTGTTGCATGACACCCTGTGCCAGTTTCCTACACCAACCATAATCCCAACATTACTTAACCCTAACCTTAAAGCTATCCCTAACCCTAAAACCTAACCTATAATCCAATTGCAATCCTGACCTTACACCTTTGATAAAGAAGCCTGGGTCAATGAAAATTGTAGCCACAGAATTTGTTGGGTTATCGTCCCTGTTCCACGTTGTATTTCACAAGGGTATTTTTTTACCAATGGATCTATGTGTATTTCGTATCTAAGTTCCAGTATTAAAATGATCCGATAACTTTGTCTCAGATTCTGAAACAAAATTCTGGATTTAGCTCATGATGCAATGATAATTGAAAACCTTTAGGTCAGTCAGGAACCCCATGACTTTTACAAGCCGATCGCCTGTCTGATTATCAAGATATTTATGATTGGAATTACAAATTTTGAAAACCGTTCGCCTGACGGTTTTCATAACACTACAGTCTATTGGGGAAAACGAGTATGGTAAAACCGGTCACTCAAAGATTTTTACTTTTTGAGGCACTTCTTGATCATTTTAAAGCGCAATTTTTTTAGGGCTTCATTATTACACCATATCACAGACAATGTTAACACGTAGGGCCGTGTATCTCAGATTTAACATTGTTAAACAATCCCTTTAACTTACTCGAAATAGGAGATAAAAGAGTTGACATATGCGGCCAATTAAGATCTGGGCCCAGTCTTATTTACATACCGTAAATCTCTGTGTATAAGGCGCACCTGTGTATAAGGCGCATCTGTGTATATGTTGTTTTGTTGCCGAAAACCCACGCGGGGAAGGACCTTCATTTAACATCGAGGTGCAGTTAAAGGCTCTGATTTGTGCTTGTAAACTTGTCACAAATAATAGTAACAATGTTGTTTTTAGAAGAATGTGTATGATCATTAATGTAAATTAAAAACAATAGAGTACCTAGGTCCTAGGATAGAACCTTGTGGTACACCATTTGTTATATAAAACAAATTGAGGAATTACTACTATAACTACATATTGAGATCTATTAGAAAGATTACTTTTAAACCAAGAGGACAGAATTTTTTTAGTGTTGTAGTTTCCGAGTGGTGAGTCAACACACTGATTACTGAGCTGGAGACATTGCCAGGCATAGCGCCATAAATCGAAACTAAAAACTTTTTATAAAAAATTAAAAAAAAAAAAAAAAATCTGTACCTACATGTATAATTAAGGCACACCCCCGACTTTCAATTTTTTTCGGCGGCAAAAAAGTGCGTCTTATACACAGATATTTACGGTTTATAGTTGCAATTGATATAAACTCTTTATAAGACGGGGCCCTGGCAGAAATGGGTTGTTAAGCAAAGCTTTTATAGTATAAAGTCCAATCCTTTTGTTTATTGGTGCAGCCAGCAGTCGTACCAATCAGCAATCATGGCAAATTAAAGGTTAAAGGCTATACTGAACAATTTGATGTTTCACTTAGGTACAGGATTGGACAGAACCATGTACATTGTACATGTACCCATGGTTGATTACATATACATTTAACAACTAAATTATTGATACCCCTTGTAAATTTGAGTGGCAATGACAAGTCATGCATGAGCACGTCTATACAGAACTCCACTATTTATTAGTATTATGAAAGATGAGCTGAACTATGAGTAGTACAGTGGACTTCTGTGTGGTCTTGGAGATATGAATATGTGTTAAAGATAAGCATAACCATTATAAACAGGTAGCCATATCATTCTTCTAATGATCATGTATTTTCTCAATCCCACTTCTTTTGTCACATTTTTAGTTGTAATTTTATCTGTGAGTGTTTATTGCATCTTGTGTGAACTACCCTTTATGAGTTTTAGGCCAAGATGTGAACGACAGCTGTGACCCTTGAAGGGATAGTTGAGTTTTTCTTGAGATAATGAAAAACTGAGTGTCAAATTTGAAAGAACATACAATTTAAATGACATAATCATCTTTGATCAAAATCGGTTCAGAGACGGCTGAAATATCTTAAATATAATGATTTCTAACATTTGTGGTGCCCTACAAATATTGAATAATAAGAACCAGCCGTTGAAAAAATGAGATGGTGCCTTTACGTTTTATTCCAGCCAATGCTGATGTTAGCTTTTTGTTGGCTTTATCGTGTTGGCTATAATACGCACAACCAGCAGGCCCCTGTATTATTATTAATTAATTAATTAATTAACGGTTATCATTTTTTTGTTTAAAGTGGAGCTGAATTGGTATAATCGTATTGGCTCAATTTCACACATTTTGGGGTCTAAAATTACCTTCATAGCAATTTTAGGTCCTAAAAGAGCTCTAGAAAATGTTAAAATAATAATAAGAGGACTAACCATGCACCTTGAAGGCATTTGCGGTCTGAAAAAAGAACTCTACTATCTCTTTAATCCGCTAATTTCATTTCCGTTTTAGACGGTTTGACCCATCTATCCGTAAGCTGAGACAGAGGGTGCAGAATGGAGAGATAGGGCAGATCAGGTGTATAAAATCAACCGCCAGGGATGCCCCTTTCCCTCCAGTAGAATACCTTAAAATATCAGGTGAGGATGAACAAGTTATCATTGCATTAAGGGAGACAATAGGGAGTTTTCGCACCGCGACGCAAGTGCTGACTACGGGATATTTAAGTGAGCTGTGACCGTTCGTACTCTGGCTACCGTAGCGATCTAATTTGCAGGCGCTTGCGTGATGTCAGCAAAGTCGTTTGCATCCGAGCCTCCCCATCACAGCTAACAAGCGCTCTGCTTGGCTGATCACGCCACCCCGTACTAGCTCGACTCCCGACGCTAATTCGGCTGATTACTGTCGTAGGTATGGACGCTACGCGGAAATTTTCGCTCTGAGTGCATGCGACCCCCCACCATGATTAGTGTTGTAGGCCGTGTCACCGGTTGCGAAAACTCCCTAATGCAAATTAGATCGCGACGGTAGCCAGTACGGACACGGTCACAGCTCATTTAAAGGTAAAGACCAGTTATGGTCATGCGATTGCATTGTGAAAGAAACGTTGTGGAATCAATCAGAAAAGGTTGATCATCTAGCATCTAGCATCTGCAAGGTTCTGGAATCATCAAAATGATAAGAAATTTGGCCCATTCTTCGTAAAGTTACAAGCACTATACACAGAAAGATGTATATGGGACTACCCTATATCTCTCACAGACCATGAGAGAAACAAATTTACCAAATATATGAATTAGTAGGCGGTTTCCCGGCAAATTTTTTATCATCATGTATTAGTCAAAACATATTCTTTCACATGATTGGTAATGAGAGCTTCCATTTCATTTTTTGAAATTGGGGCGTTTCCAATACTGGTCTTTACCTTTAAATACGCCGTAGTCAGCACTTGCATTGCCGTGCGAAAACTCCCTTAAATCACTGCATGAAGGAGATATTGTCACTGTATTAGGGAGACATTTTAAAGGTCCGGTGACATCGAAATAAAAGATGATTCCTGTTGATGTGCAGGGCAACTCATATTTTGTTATTCATACATCTTAATATAGTCAAACCTGCTTAAATGACCAGCACCTGCCTACAAAGACCACATTTTTTGTTTCACATGAAAATGATTTCTCATTGAACATGTACTAAAGGAACCTGTCTACAAAGATCATGTTTCATGTTTCCCTTGGGTGGTCGCTATAGACAGGTTTGACTGTATATTTAATAGAATTTCAAAATATTCTTAAAATAATTTTCTCAGACCTGCTAAGCTCCACCCTAAAAAAATGCTCCAGATCTCATTCATCTTGTGACATCGTCTGCGTGTCATCATTAGTGAGCCAACAAGAGACAGTGGTATGTAACTTCCCCCACCTCAGCAAATGCTCACAAAAGAATTACGGTACATTCTTTGATACAATACCTCCACATTACCTTTTTTCATGGTGATGCTACAGGACGTCTGACATAGCAACTCCTATATTGGTATTGTATGGTCTAATGTGAACAGTTGGTCACCCGATCTTTAAAGGGACCGTTTAACAATATTAACTCTGAGATGCACGGCCCTACGTGTTATCAGTGCACATGTCTGTGATATGGTGTTATATATTGAAGCCCTAAAAATATTACGCTTCAAAATGATCAAGAAGTGCCTCAAAAAAGTAAAAATCTTTGAGTTCCCCGATAGACTGTAGTGTTATGAAAACCGTTTGGCAAACGCAAACTTTGATTTCGATTTTCAATCATAAATATCTTGATGATCAGACAGGCGATTGGCTTGTAGAAGTCATTGGGTTCCCGACTGACCTAAAGGTTTATAATTATCATTGCAGCATATGAGCTAAATCAAGGATTGTTTTAAAGGGCCTAATTAGACAAATTAAGTTACCGGATCTTCTTTAACAAATTCTAATAACTTCTAAACAGCTTCTTTTACAATGCAATCACATGACCAGAACTCAACATTATTTTTTAAAATGTTGTCAAGACATAGTTTCATTTCTGACACACTCTAGAAAAAGAATCACTTGTAATTTTTTTACTATTAATAGGTGGATTCTACCATGACTGTGCTGTTCACGACATCGACCTAATTCTATGGATACTCGGTGAGAAACCAATCAGTGTCTTTGCTCAGGGCCACGCCTTCAACGATGCCATCAAAGCCATGAACGATGTTGATCAGGCGGCCATTGTTCTGAAATTTCCAAGTGGGGTCCTGGCAACCATCGACCTTAACCGCGAAGCTGTTTACGGTTATGACCAGCGATTAGAGGCAAGTCGGAAGCCGAGCTCTATCAATAAAAGGAATTAAAGGGAATTTGAATCTTTCCAAGTCGCTAGGTCCATAAGTTCTAAGAGCATAGCTTGTCAGCCGGCTGGCAGAAGGGCGTTAGTGCTCAAGCGACTTGAAAACTACTTTTCAAATTATTCGCATTTAAATATTTGTTTTATATTCAAACTGCTTTCAACCCGAAAATTGGTTTAAAACTTAAAAGACTAATAAAAATGTTTTAGTAAAACACGGCCACAATTTTTTCTCAGAAATATTAAAGTCAGTTTTATAAAAGTTTGAGGCGATTTAGTGCTATCGCCCTTCTGCTTAACGCTTTATTTTTTACCTGAAATTCGAGCTAATGCCCATCTGCCAGCCAGGCGACGAGCTGTGCATTGACTCTAAAACATATTATGACGGACTTTGAAATATCAAGACTTAACCATGAAGAACTTTGCTCAAGGTCAGATATTTTTGTGAACATGTCTTCTGGTTTTTTATGCCTCCGCCAGCGAAGGTGGTGCCGGAGGCATCATGTTTTCGGGTTGTCCGTCCGTACGTACGTACGTCCGTACGTCCGTCCGTACGTCCGTCCCGTTTGACCGTTATCACAATATCTCAAGAACCATTTAAGATTTAAACTTAAGACTCGGGAATAGTATTTATCACCATAGGAAGACGATCTGATTAGATTTTGGAGTACGTAGGTCAAAGGTCACAGGTCACAGAGGTCAACTTATGAAATTCCTTGTATTGAGTTTGTTAGCGCGATATCTCAAGAACCATTTGAGATTTAAACTTCAAACTTAAGGATAGTATGTATCACCATAGGAAGACGATCTGATTAGATTTTGGAGCACGTATGTCAAAGGTCAAGGGTCACAGAGGTCAACTTATGAAATTCCATACATTGAGATTGTTATCATGATATCTCAAGAACCACTGGAGATTTAAACTTCAAACTTAGTGATAGTGTGTATCACTATAGGAAAACAATCTGATTACATTATGGAGCACGTAGGTCAAAGGCCAAGGGTCATAGAGGTCAACTTATGAAATTCCATACATTGAGATTGTTATCATGATATCTCAAGAACCACTGGAGATGTAAAAACTTCAAACTTAAGGATAGTATGTATCACCATAGGAAGACGATCTGAATAGATTTTGGAGCACGTAGGTCAAAGGTCAAGGGTCACAGAGGTCAACTTATGAAATTCCATACATTGAGATCGTTATCGCGATATCTCAAGAACCACTGGAGAATTTTCACTTCAAACTTAATGATAGTATGTATCACCATATCATAATATCTCAAGAACTACTGGAGATTTAAACTTCAAACTTAATGATAGTGTGTATCACCATAGGAAGACAATCTGATTAGATTTTGGAGCACGTAGGTCAAAGGTCAAGGGTCACAGAGGTCAACTTATGAAATTCCATACATTGAGATTGTTATCATGATATCTCAAGAACCACTGGAGATTTAAACTCCAAACTTGATGATAGTACATGTATGTATCACCATAGGAAGACAATCTGATTAGATTTTGGAGCACGTAGGTCACAGGTCAAGGGTCACAGAGGTCAACTTATGAAATTCCATACATTGAGATCGTTATCGATCTCAAGAACCACTGGAGAATTTTCACTTCAAACTTAATGATAGTATGTATCACCATAGGAAGACGATCTGTTTAGATTTTGGAGCACGTAGGTCAAGGGTCACAGAGGTCAACTTGTGAAATTCCATGTCTTCAGCTCGTTATCGCGATATCTCAAGAACCATTTGAGATTTTAAACTTCAAACTTAAGGATAGTATATATATCACCATAGGAAAACGATCAGATTAGATTTTGGAGTACATGTATGTCAAAGGTCATAGAGGTCAACTTGAAAAATTCAGACTACATGTATAGGACTTGTCATGATATGTCAAGAACCACTTGAAATATGTTCCGTTACTTAACCCGTACTTAACTGGGCTATTTTGAGCACCTCCCTGACTGGGGGGGGGGGGGGGGGGGGGCCGATTGCCTCGAAATTTGGCACGCGTCTTGAGAAATTGCGCAAAGGAAGAGACCTCACTATTATTTTGCTGAAAATTGCTTATTTTATCAATTATGCTAATTTATGCAATTGCATAAAGGAAGAGACCTCACTATAATTTTGCTGAAAATTACTTATTTTATCAATTATGCTAATTTATGCAAATCAAATTCATGAATAATGATTTTTATTAACAATTACATAAATAAAGCTTTTACAGAGTTGATTTTGTGGCAAAAAGTTTCTAAAAAGCCTATCGGGCATTATCACATAAAAAAATTGTCCATGTCTATTTCAATTCTTATTTATTTCATTGTTTTATGAACTTCTTTTGTATTCTATTGTTATTAATTCTTAATCTTATGTATTGTATTGTTTTAGGACTTCTGATACTTGAGGTTGTTACGTATCAATATTTTGCTTGAATAAATGATAACTTAACTCTAAAGAGTAAAATTATGCTGATTTATAGACCAAACTAGAAACTTCACTTTGCCATTCATTTTGTACACAAAATGACAAATTTCTCAATTTTCGGCTTGACCTTAGGTCACAATAGGTCAAGTAACTCTCTTAAATTGCTCTATGGCGGAGGCATCATTTTCGACTGCGCGCAGTCAAAATTCCATCTAGTTTTTAATAGGCTAGTTTCCCCATAATGAATGTACATACATGCGATTAGATGGATCCTGAACCCTACATGTATATCCCTTTGAAAGGGGCGTAGGGGCAAATATTGTAAAAATTTGAATTATCACAACTTTCGGGCCGAAATTGTAAGGGCCGGGGTGGTTCAGCATTTTGGAGGAAAAAATTATATTTTTTGAATAGGCTAGTTTCCCCACAATGAATGTATATACATGCCATTAGATGGATCCTGACCCCCATATCCCTTTGACAGGGGGGTAGTGGCAAATATTGTAAAAATTTGAATTATCACAACTTTTCGGGCCGAAGTTGTAAGGGCCGGGGTGGTTCAGCATTTTGGAAGAAAAAATTATATTTTTTGAATAGGCTAGTTTCCCCATAATGAATGTACATACATGCGATTAGATGGATTCTAACGCCTATATCTCTTTGACAGGGGGGTAGGGGCAAATATTGTAAAAATTTGAATTATCATAACTTTCGGGCCGAAATTGTAAGGGCCGGGGTGGTTCAGCATTTTGGAGGAAAATATCAATTTTTTTTATTAGGCTAGTTTCCCCACAATGAATGTACATACATGCGATGAGATGGATCCTGAACCCTATATCCCTTTGAAAGGGGCGTAGGGGCAAATATTGTAAAAATTTGAGTTATCATAACTTTCGGGTCGAAATGGTAAGGGCCAGGGTGGTTCAGCATTTTGGAGGAAAATATTATATTTTTTTAATAGGCTAGTTTCCCCACAATGAATGTATATACATGCTATTAGATGGATCCTGAACCCTATATCCCTTTGAAAGGGGCATAGGGGGATATTGTAAAAATTTGAATTATCACAACTTTCGGGCCGAAATTGTAAGGGCCGGGGTGGTTCAGCATTTTGGAGTAAAATATTAAATTTTTTTATTAGGCTAGTTTCCCCACAATGAATGTACATACATGCCATTAGATGGATCATGACCCCCATATCCCTTTGACAGGGGGGTAGTGGCAAATATTGTAAAAATTTGAATTATCACAACTTTCGGGCCGAAATTGTAAGGGCCGGGGTGGTTCAGCATTTTGGAAGAAAAAATTATATTTTTTGAATAGGCTAGTTTCCCCACAATAAATGTATATACATGCCATTAGATGGATCCTGACCCCCATATCCCTTTGACAGGAGGGTAGTGGCAAATATTGTAAAAATTTGAATTATCACAACTTTTCGTGTCGAAGTTGTAAGGGCCGGGGTGGTTCAGCATTTTGGAGGAAAATATTAAATTTTTTTATTAGGCTAGTTTCCCCACAATGAATGTACATACATGCCATTAGATGGATCCTGACCCCCATATCCCTTTGAAAGGGGCGTAGTGGCAAATATTGAAAAATTTGAGTTATCATAACTTTCGGGCCGAAATGGTAAGGGCCGGGGTGGTTCAGCATTTTGGAGGAAAATATTTTTTTTTTTTAATTGGCTAGTTTCCCCATAATGAATGTACATACATGCGATTAGATGGATCCTGAACCCTATATCCCTTTGAAAGGGGCGTAGGGGCAAATATTGTAAAAATTTGAATTATCACAACTTTTCGGGCCGAAGTTGTAAGGGCCGGGGTGGTTCAGCATTTTGGAGGAAAATATTATTTGTTTTTAATTGGCTAGTTTCCCCATAATGAATGTACATACATGCGATTAGATGGATCCTGAACCCTATATCCCTTTGAAAGGGGCGTAGGGGCAAATATTGTAAAAATTTGAATTATCACAACTTTCGGGCCGAAATTGTAAGGGCCGGGGTGGTTCAGCATTTTGGAGGAAAATATTATATCTTTTGAATAGGCTAGTTTCCCCATAATGAATGTACATACATGCGATACGATGGATTCTAACGCCTATATCCCTTTGACAGGGGGGTAGGGGCAAATATTGTAAAAATTTGAATTATCACAACTTTTCGGGCCGAAGTTGTAAGGGCCTGGGTGGTTGAGAATTTTGGAGTAAAATATTAATTTTTTTTATTAGGTTAGTTTCCCCACAATGAATGTACATACATGCCATTAGATGGATCCTGACCCCCACATCCCTTTGAAAGGGGCGTAGTGGCAAATATTGAAAAATTTGAGTTATCATAACTTTCGGGCCGAAATGGTAAGGGCCGGGGTGGTTCAGCATTTTGGAGGAAAATATTATTTTTTTTTAATTGGCTAGTTTCCCCATAATGAATGTACATACATGCGATTAGATGGATCCTGAACCCTATATCCCTTTGAAAGGGGCGTAGGGGCAAATATTGTAAAAATTTGAATTATCACAACTTTCGGGCCGAAATTGTAAGGGCCGGGGTGGTTGAGCATTTAGGAGTAAAATATTAAAAATTTTGATTAGGCTAGTTTCCCCATAATGAATGTACATACATGCGATTAGATGGATCCTGAACCCTATATCCCTTTGAAAGGGGCGTAGGGGCAAATAT